ATTGGACATTGTTATCGTGTTTGTGACGGTCTCCAGTGGACAATGAATTAATTTTGTTGGGATGTCTCATTCTCAATCACCAAAAAATTACCAATTTATCAGTTATTTTTATGATTATTTCGTTGGAGGGCCCGTACATTGCGCGATAACAAATGAATATAATTCTGTGATCTCGTCTCGTTCCCCGATTCAATCACAATATACAATTAATTGGTTAATTAATTAAATATACAAAATTTTAGGAAAGAATAATGCTCATTAAAAAAAATTAGTGAAATATTTTCAATTCAATTTTCCCTAAACGCGTGTTTAAAAATTATCAATTATTCACGGTAATACCTGTAATGCCTCATTTACGTGGGATATTCTACGGATTTTCGGAAATTATTACTATTAATCAATTATTAAACAACTGTGTAACGTTGGCAGAAAAAACTGAGAACACGACTGCTAAGGGAATTAATAATTAATGAATAAACCATTAGCGCCTGTATAAAAACTGTGGGTCAATTCAACAAAGAACAACTCAGGTTAAATCGTATTACATGCAAAATTGAAAAAATTCTATTCCAGAATTATTTCTCTATGTCTATTTTTTTTACTATTTTTTTTTAATTTAAAAAATGAAACTTAAACCAACGATCGGAGGTTTATCCTTCGAATGAAACCTCGTCACTGCACCAACTGACAAAATTCAATTCATTCGTTAATTCCGGAGTGAAGTTCTGAATTGAATAAGACGAAATTGAGGAGAAAGGTAAAAAGCTCCTTTTTCAATCATCAATAGCTCGAGATTAGCTAAGTGAAAATCGACGATTTGTTTTTCATTTTGAAGGTGTTCTTTCAGGCTTTGAAATGAGCCCTGACTCGTTCGAATCGAATCGTTCGATCGGGAGATATTTATGATATAATGGAGGCATTTTACCTCATCTTCTCCAATTCAATTCTAACACTCTTCTTATTTTCGCTTTGATCTCGTTACCGAGTGGTCCTAGCGAAAAATGTCTCATAATCTTTTTTGTAAATCATAAAATTTTCCACAAAAAATGTAATGTGACATTTTCCGCTAGAATCAATAGTTCTCGAGATAAATCGACCTAACCAAAACGTGAATAATCGCTCAACTCAAAATTTCATCCCTCCACCCCTGAAAAACGACTAATGCTAACATTTTCGTCAATGACTTCGAAAAAAAAAAAAAAGAAAAGAATTGTAACTCCTGAGGTAGTGGACGCGTTTGGGTAAACATTCATAATGACTTTATCTCAAGCCGGACTTCACCAGACCAATAATCGACAAATTCGAAATTTCACTTCACGAAATTTTTTGGGTTTTAGTATTCTCTACGCTTCATCATCTCAACCATTAAAACTTCGAAATAACATCGAGATAAAAATGATAATGGTGTGCCCACACGTGCATCTGATGCATCTGAAGTGTAATTATCATGATTATGATTCATCATAAATCTATTCAACTAATTAGCAATAAGTAAAAATATATTTACACTGTTGGAGGGGGTTTTCTTCTTCATTATTTTGTGTTATTTTTCATTCCTCAGATTGACGATAAATCCCACGGATTTATCCCCAGTTAATGCCCATCGTTGGCAACAATTAGGATAATAATAGATAATATCATACGACTCAAAGTTCCTATTTATCCTACCTATTATTATTCTCATTACTCACACCATTATTTTCGCAAATATCTCACTCATTTCAATGCTTCATTCATCTGTTAATTTTCATTACTAACACGTTACTTATGAATTATCTTCTTCTCAATTTAATTAAAACGTATTAAACGTAAAAAACATCTCTCACTCACGTGTGTCTCTCGCGCGACACCGCATTTGCGCACTACTCGTTATTTTCTATTATTTTTCATTAACCGTTAATTGATAATTATTCTGTATATATTGTGTTATCACTTGAAAAAAATTACATTCTTTCAATAATAACAATGCCCAAGTGGTTACGATAAGGCCCATTTGTTTTATTTAAACTATTTATCTTGTTCTGTTTACGTTTCAGCATTCATTTTTGTTTATGATCTCATCATCATCATTAATCGTCGTTCATTATTCCTGGAATTAATTAGTAATACTAAAGCCCAAAATATCTCGTCAAGATGCCTCTTGTATTTGCTCTCCTCGGTTGAATCCTAGGATTTTTGTTCTTCTTATTTCATTACATTGACGATTCTTGTCATCAACTCTTCCTCCGTTCTGTGGTTTTTTTTATCTATTTATAATACTATTCACTATTTATTAGAGTTAATATTACGTGAAGCCGGCAGGTTTTTATTTATTTATTATTACATTTCACTTATTGATGTGTGCGTGTGTCGATTTTAGTCAGTTTAGATATTTTAATCGTGAGAACCTGTGGAGAAGTGACAAAACGACTGATCAATTCCTTCGATTTTGGTGATTGTGGATTTATCTCTGTAACGAGTGGTTCTAAGGGGGAATATCTGCTGACATTTTCCAGTAGAACGTGTCGTCATCGAGATTTCATCTTCATCAGAATTTAAAAAATGGATTTTTCACGTTTTCATCGCTTCAACCACTCGTTTCAATTATTGATCTTCATGGTTTTGTTTTATTTATCATTTTTGATGTTTTTTAGATGGCATTCAGCACGAATCATGTAGTTGTTACACGTTAGACGCAACAGGTCTGCTCTGTCCATTTATTCGCATGCTCATTATCGTTGTCAAGCAGAAGATTAATGTCAATGTTTTCTCTTTCATCATCAGCACTTGTTGGAGTTCTCCTTACATCGGATTATCTGGGATTCCCATCTCCTTGAGTAACACACAATTACAATGTCTGCGCGATTAAATACTTTGTTTCTTTAGATATTTAGATACTAACATTTAAGATTTAGCGATTAATCGATTTTGTACATTTGTCGTGGTTAAATTCCTTATTCGTTTTTAAAGAAAACCCTTTTTTTCCCTTCACTCTCATTTCTCCACGTTTTTTTCGTTTTTTTTTCGTTTTATTTTTTTAATAATTTATAACTTTAAAAATTCATTATTCTTTTTAAGTTATCATTATTATATTAATAATTTCTCTGCAATTTTTTTTTCATTTTTTTTTTGTTTTTTCCTCTCTTACTTTGTGTTTGATTTGTACATTTCATCGTCCCCGAGTGTGCGAGCGGGCCTCACATAGCAGAAAACATTATACAATAATGTTTATTTTTACTGCAAATTTTTTTTCTCTTTTCTTTTTTATTAATTAAATTTTCATCTTTAATTTTTATCCCTGTCTCTTACCACTCCTGGCATCATCTTAATCGTTAAATGAGCCTTTACTCGAGTGATTCTGCTACCTGTGGACTGTGAAAAACGGCCGAAACTTAGGTAAGATCCAATCGAAATTAATGTTCCTCCACATTTTCGCCTTTTTTTTTAGTATCCGATGTTTTCAATTTTAGAGAATTAATAATTCTCCATGTTTTTCTCTCGTTTGCGTGTGACGATGACTGCTATTTGGTCCATCTCGTGTTTTATTACTTATTTTCCTCCATTTTGGGTTCTTTAAAAATTAGTTTAGAGCTTCAGAACTGTGAGAATTGCGAGCAACGAAGTCGAAGAGTTTAGTTTTAATCGTGACATCCAATCCCTTATTTCCTTACTGATGATTTTTATTAATTAATTAGTTGAAAGTAAGAAAAACGATAATTGTTGGTTTTGTTATTAAATACTGGGGCTCGGTTGGGTCGTGAGTGGATATTCATTATTTATCTCTTTCTCGTGGGATAACAAATGTAAAAGAGTGATTTTAATATTTCAATATCGAAAGAGTTGCTTTTTTGTTTCAATTTTTGATTTAGAATTTATTAATAAATATAATTAAGTTGGAAAAAGGAGTGTTCTACTTATTCAATGGCAAATGTTCGTTTTTGATTATTAAAAATGCACTTTAAATGTCTTCAATGTTGTTTTTTGCCTTCAATAATTTACTTGATAAATAATCCAGAAGTGGCTGAAGCGGGAGGCCGCATACGCGAAATAATCGTCCAGAAAATCTCGTGTCACATAAAACTGCGAGCCCGAGAGTCCCTTGTTAATTATCATCCCTAAACATTTTTTTTCTCTCATTTAAAAATTTATCCCACTTTATTTTTGTTCATTGATAAAATGGTGTGACAGTCTCCCAGCGACCTGACCACCGCCGTTATATTTAAAAAATTTCATCCCCTCGAAATATATTAAATATATTATACAATATATCGACTTAAAGAAAAGAAAAAAAATCTCCTTTTTTCCTGACACCAGCCCAGTGCAAAAAACTGGACAAGTCGAAAAATTTACTCTCTTTTACCTTTAATTATCTCATCAAATTTTGTTAAATTTCTCACTCACGATAATTTATTCCCCTTCGTTTTTAATTTACTTTTTGTACCTTCATCACCATTTCCCCATCCTACTTCCCCCATTTTATTTTATATTAATTAATTAAAAATTTCTCTTCCTCATTCACCAAAAAAAAAATCTCTTACTCTTCCCTAAATACCGTTAAAATTCATTAAGTTATTAAAAACATCTAACAAAAAAAATTGAAAAAGAAAGAATAAAGAAAAAAAATGGAGACGAAAGAGAAAAAAAAACTAATCGAAAGAATTACTTATCCCTCCCAACAATGTATCAAAAATAAACTTATACTCTTTATTACTTTTTTTTCTCTCTTCATTGATTTCTTTACTTTTTTCTCTTTCAATTCACCCCATACCCCCCCAACCCCTCACTAAACTCTAATTTCTCCCATTCCCTCGAAAAAAATAAAATAAACAAAAAGAAATTCGCTTCGTGCTCATCATCCGCTCGTATACACATGTTTTTTTTCTCTTCGAAAAACTACGTACACACATATTCCCGAAAAAAAATCGACCCGCAAACGTTCATTCCCTAAAAACGATTTTTTGTACTAAACGCTTTATGTTATACCGAATGTCGAGAAATTGTTCATGTTACAGCAACAAATGTTGATTGATTTTAATTCAGTATGATGACACTCTGCCCTGTCCAATGTAATGGGAATTCATTGGACTAAATTGGGGCTGCAGAGTGCGAATAATTGTCAGTCCGATATTCGATCTTTCAAAATAAGAAAAGTATATTCTGAAAAATCTCAGCAATTGGCCGGAGAATCAAGTGATGGTTAATTCTCAGGTTGTCTGTCTCATTGTTACAACAAGTATTTCGATTATTTATCATTTTCCCTCCCCAAAACACAATTCCCCGGTTTCGCCTTACGCCCCAAAAATATTTCGACTACTCGAAAAAGAAACTTAATAATATTTTTATCAGTCAACACACGCACACTCACACTTTACATCCTTGGTAAAAGTAAAAATCCCTGAAGGTGTGTTTTTTTTCTTAGAAAACGTTTTTCTATGCCTCGTATCAAGATTTTTCTTGCGTGAATTAATTGGGTTGGTGGTGGAGTGGGGAAATATAGTAATTCCAAATTGACATTTTGTTCTTTGCTAATTTTCCATTTATCTCAGAAACCAGTGGTTCTAGCAAAAAATGACATAAAACCTTTTTTGTGAATCATGAAATTGTCTACAAAAAATGTTATGTGACATTTAGCCCTAGAACGGCTTGTTATCGAGATAAAATCGAATTATATAAATTATCCAATTCGAAATGTCCATTTTTGTAAATAGAACATTCCATGAATAAACAAATGACTCACCCCTAAAATTCCTCATTGAGGGAGCAATTTCCCCTGAATGAACTCCTCACCACTTCCCCAAATTAACTCAACACCAATCGATAATTATCAGTTTGATAAATCTCATCAAAGAGAATCCACCTGAAGTACCATAATAATAAACCTGTCCCACGAAAAATGTCTTTCGGATAATCCTCAACCCGAGTTCCCAGTCGAAGCCCCTTGACACATGACTCACTCATCGAGTCAACCAATTTTTCTTGTATCTCTTAAATACAAAAAAAAAATCGTTTCTTTGGTAATTATGGTACCAAGGGTCTCGACACATTGACCTCACAATTCAAGATAAATCCTCACCTGCTGTTACGTTCTATTTGTTTAAGTCTCCATAATCGGTTCAAATGCAGTGCATCAATTACCCAGTAAACTGCACACATCAGTGTCTATTTGTTATTCTCTCACCACTCGAATGAGAAAATAATTAAATGAAAGAAAACAAGTTGAAAATAAATGCAACGAGGGCCTGTCATTTTCCAACATCAAAAAAATATGTTGTCAACATGACAGGCATCCCCTTCATCTATTAATCAGAAGAAAAAAATTATTGTAATAATAATAGTGTAATAATAATCATATCGGTATCATGAATAGCAATTTAACAGGATTATAACGTAATTGTGTTAAATGTTTTTACGTAACTTCAATTCTCTGTATATTATCAATAACTTTAATATTAGGTAGACTTCTAGATTACTTGGTTTTTCATCATTATCAATCATTAATTCTTTCTTTAATTCAATTCATCATTTTCACTCTGCCTTTTTTCTTCTATTCATATTTTAATCTTTAATCGTAATGAATGAGGTAATAAGGTTGTGTGTGTTTTCCGTAGTTTCTTCATTATCTTTTTTTTTCATTTTTTTAAATACTTTTTTTCTCATTTTTCATCAACGCTTTTAACGTGGTGGAATCGCGTTTGTTTCAATTCATATTCACCTTGTGAGTTTTCACTTATTAAACTACAAACTCACAATTCATTGATTAATAAAAAAAATTCGAGAGGAAGAGACGAAAAAATGGGACGAGACTGATGGGAATTTCTGGCAAAATGTTCTCTTTTGGGTCTCGAGGGTCTCGAATTTTGGAAATTCTAATGATGCTTTTCAGAGTTTGGAGACTTCCAGAGTCACAACTCGAGTTAAACCAATACTGTGATCAGCTGGTGATCAAGTTAACTTTGAGCCAGAAAGGCTTGAGATGAAGAATACATTTTTGTCAAATAATTACGCCGAAAGTGATAAGATCTCAAACCCGAGGCTGTATTCAATCATGAGGCAGCCCTAGAATTTTAAAAAACGTCTTCCCCTCGAAGAAAATAAAGATTTGCCAATCCCCAGCAGAATGGAATTCCCATTTTTAATCAGTTCCTCACCCAAGGAACTACCACGAGCGATCGAAAACGAAAAAAAAAGCTGCTGTTGAGGCGTTGCTTGGCATCAGGTGTTGTTTCTCTATCATTTGTAAGTTGAGTTTTTTAAAAAATTTGTTGTTGGTTTTGTTTTTGCGTTCTTATCGACAACGTTACTGTTGCTGGGGCTGGGGTTGACTCTGCGGCGATGAGCTCTGTTGAGTCTGTGGTGGGGAGTGTTGCTGCTGCGGCTGTTGCTGCTGTTGCTGCTGGGGTGGATGAGACTGGGGGGGCACTGAACCACCCTGCTGGGACGCTGTGCTGCCGTCTCTTCGTGTGCGCGGACCACCCTCTTGGCTTGCACCGCGTCCAGCGCGTGAGCCAGGAATACCGGTGGTACTGCCCGGGGCACCTGATTGGAGGACCATTGCTCGAATTCTTCGCTGTGCAGACTGAAAATTCAAATATGGAATATTTCAATTCAAGGAATTATAGCATTGTCATTCTTACATCTAGTGTTAGAGTAAAGAAAATAAAAATTTCATGGATAGTTGACAAATTAACCCCTAACGTACGGGGTCGATGCCATGCATCGACCGATGAAAATATGAATTACTCTCTTTGAAATTGATTACTTCCAAAACTATGGAATTTAACTCAACCAAACAAATAACAACGAAAAAAGGAATACTGTAGCTTCAATTAGATATCGGTTTCATAATTTTCCGTTGATTAGAAGTCATTACATTCTAGTTGTATCGAGCATCCTCCACGCTTGGAAACAAAAGGGCCCCGTCCGTGAGCGGTTAAGGTATATCCGAAAACAATCGGACCCACAAGATAGTCCCTCCGGATTTCCGAAAAAAAATTCTAAATTAATTTATTTAATTCTCATAAGTTATTGACGGTTTCTATTCTCATGTGTTGTTGATACAGGCAACAATAACTGTTTGAATCAAATAAGAAATTACTTGTTAATCAACGTTTTGACTCAAATAAGGAATGCTTTCACGAAATTTCCATTTTTTAGAGGTGAATATCCCAGAAATTAAAAAAAAAAATGTGTACAATAACAGTTACAAGTTAGTTTTTTGACATTCGACTCCTACAAAGCGAATTTTGCTTTTTGTTTCAATAAAAAATTGCACCATCCCAAAAAATGTTTCTGAAAGAATCGAGAATATATTTTTAATATTTTGAGGATAATTTTTCTTCCTATTTTACATGAATGGCGCAAATTTTTATATTAAAAAAACGAAATTAATTCAAAAGTTTTGAATTAATTTCTCGTTATTCTTACCTGAACAGAGAAGAAGGGTCCTATGATATGGACGGTAGTTTCCTCATCAGCTTGTGGAGGTGTAGACTGCTGCTCAGAGAGCTTGATAACGCTCCCAGTGACACGCTGGAGTTCCCTCACATTCTGACCCCCTTTACCAATAATACGGCCAACCTGAGCACTCGGTACGAGTATCTCAACCGTCAGTCTCACGTCTTCGGTGCCTGCCACGAAGCCCTCTTCTCTCATCTTCTCGAAAATCAGGTACTGAGCCTAAACAATAATGACAATAATCTAAATTACAGTTTATTCTGGTTAATCGAGAACTAAACTCAATACCCATGTCAGTAAAATGTCAAACCATTTCGATAACAGGTGGTTTGGAAGGAAAAGGAAATTTTCTGTAGGAAATTTTCTCTCGTCTAATAGAAAGTTTCTGGATATTTCCTTCCGGAATCACTCATTCGCTACACATTCATGAAGTTATAAAAAATACGTTTCCCTAAACCCTGCGATTCTACAAATACAGTCCAATCTTTGTACAAGATACCACAGGGTAGAAAATATGTTGACTTAATATTCTTCGTACAAGATACTAGACAATTTCCTTTTTTCATAATCATTTGAATACGATTCCTGATGTGAAATACGAATGTTTGATTAGAGGGTATTGTTTCTTTTCAAAATAACAATTTAAAAACTCGCAACAAGTTAGTTTACTAATAGGGGCCTGAGACTTGCATTAGAATTTTGTTTTTTTTTTATTTCTCTCAATTTCATAAAAATTGGGTTGAATTTTGTTTTATTTTGTCTATATATCTATCCGAAAAATGGACGGAAAACACTATACGAAAAATATGAATAAAATATATATTTTTCCAAGTTTTATGGCCGAGACGTTGAATTTTTTAATGAAATGTAATGGGTGCCCATTCGTTTTCAAATTCAATTGATGTGGAACTAAGTTCTACATTATAAACGCATATATTTCCAATAATTTCTGGAATATCTCAACTCCATTCCCACTCAATTCTAGTCCCTTTGTGAAGTATCTTGTACGAAAGTATCTTGTATGGAGACTGAACAGTATCAGAAAGCATAAACCGTCAGTTTGTCATTCCAAACATTTTCGAATGTATCGGTTGAGGGTTTGAGCTAATTGTATTACGACATAATTTATTTTCATTGTCGACATTTCTCTATTTAATTTTATTACTATTAAATTGTTCTTATGATTGACTCGTTCAATTATTTAATTGAATGAATTTGATATTCCTTGTTTTGACGAAAATTCTCAGACGTAGGAATTTCATTTCTAAATATGAAGCTTCTTTTTGCAACATTGTTGATATCTAATCTGAACGGAATTAGCATTTCCATTTTTGTAAATAGAATTGGTACAGATCCATTCGGAAGCTACCAATGAAATTGGTAGAAATGAAAAAAGAAAAAGAGTTATAACACGTAAAGAAATAGTCAAATGGCTTCTACCAAAGAGTGTAAAAGATACTTGGATATCAGTAACGAAATGGTAAAAGTAGATAAGTCAATTTTGACTATTGATCAATTTTCAATCAATATCTCGGAATCTAAGGGAGATAGCGAAATCTTCGTAATTACATTAGTTGTAGCACTCAATCGGCTTCACAAAAAAGGTTATAACAAAAATTTCATTATCTCCCTTAAATTCCGAGATATTGATTGAAAACTGGTCAATAGTCAAAATTGACTAATCTCCTTTTACCACTTGGCTACTGATATCCTTAAAAAAATTGTCGAAGAGTAACGGGGGTGAGGTTCAATTGAACTACTGAATCCACCACGGAAATCTCTCTCAATTAATGTCCCTGCTGTATCAAGGTGATGCCTGCATATGCCACCACCCCAAATTGGCAGGATTTCAAATTTTAAAATTTCCTCCTCAACCGAGAATCGAACCCGCAACCACGAGAACACGAGTTCGATCGTTTTTCCACTTAGCCACGGTCCCCTACTCCTTCAAGCCCCTGAAAGATCCCACTCAATCGAAGAGAGGCCCCCTGACGTGAACTTCGGACATTACCTTCCACTGAGACTCCGGCGAGCCGATGATTGTGACTTTCCTCTCAGTCTGCTGATCGGCAGGCTTCTCCTGCTCGAGTGGAGCAATTTTAACACTAGCACCAGAGAATCTTATGATATTCCTGATGTGTGAACCCTTGGTACCAATTATTGCCCCCACACTGTTGTTGGGAATGTACAGGAAGGTTGTTTCTTGGGTGTCTGCTGCTGGTACACCACCTTGCTGCGTTGGTAGGCTGCCTTGGTAGGGATAGGGGGCTGGCCCTGAACCGTAGAGACCGGGTCCACGTGAACTGTAGCCCATACCTGCTGTTGACATCATTGCCATTGGGTGGAGACCAGGGAACATCATACTTTGTGGCTGAAAGAATTAATTTGTCAGTTGATATGAAAATTTGAGGCGCGTGTATAATCGTTCGAACGTGATCTGAGTTGTTTTTTTTATTTTGATAATCTGAAATGTTCTTCAATTGGCATTCAGTTTTACATAGCCCTGTAGTCTTCAAGAATTATAATTTTACAATCAAAGAAACGTTGAAAGAAAACAGAACATTTTCAAAGAGCGTTCTTGAATAATATTGGGAAATCAACTCAACAGGGAATATTGCAAATTAATAATTTGCAGGTTTTTATGACTGATTAGTTGTCATTTGTCTCAGTAGGCAGTGCCTGTCAGATCGTTAGTTGCCATGATAAATTATTATTTACAATTTCCTCTCTGTTGGACTTGTTTCTTAATCTTTACTAAAAATGCTCTTTGAAAATATTCATTTTTTTTTACTTTTTTTGATTGTGTAATCAGAATTTTTAGAGACACCTTCGTGATGTAAAATCCAGTGGACAATCTACGGAACAATCGAGATAACGTTAGAAAGATGATTCATCCGGGGCTTAAGTAAAAGATTATACGTAGCTTTCGAGGACTTTTGAATTATTTTTCCAACAGAATTTTGCGATTTTAAAAGTCAATGGGGACGTGCATAAGTAGTTGAGGGGCAGAGAAATTGAAATTCACTACACTGTTAAAAATGTTTACAGTTTCACTGGAATTTTACAGATTTTTGTAGTTAAAAAATCATAATTTGATGAAAAAATCAATGGAAACTGTAAATTTTAGTTTAATTATTCTCTGCAAATTGAAAGAAATTGGGTAAACACCGGTAAACACCGCCTTGGATTTTCATTCAATTGAAAATTTATGTATTTGGAAATTGGAAATCCATTGAATATTATTCACCTGAAATTTACTACTGAACTGTCTGTGAAATTTGAAATTTTTGAAACAGTATCATCAATCGAGCCATTGAATCGTGAAATAAAGTCAGTCAGTTTGCTTTGCACATCATTTTGTTTTGGAGAATATCTGGAAATTTGAAGGAGACACCGAATTTCGTCTGAAAACTAGAAACTTTGTCTCACTAGTAGCTGCGAAGATATTCATCAAAAACTCATTGGCAAGTTGAATTCAATTACTTGGTCACAACGACACTTCCATTAAAATGAAAATCATCTCCAAACTAAGGGATTTTATGGCAAAATGACTGGAGATCATTTTGCAGAGCACAAAGTTCTCAACAGAAAGAGTCTCCTGACATATTCTCCTTCAGAAAGTTCCCTCAACAAGCCATGAAATACTAAACTCATTGTTGAACACGAACAAGTTTCTTCAACTTACAGCCATCGCCTGAAGATCATTCTCGTAACTCTGACGAAGTTTGCTGGAGATCATGGACTCTGCTTTGCTCATGTTATCGATCGTTCCCTTGACAGTGATAATACGTTCGAGATTGAAGCTGTTAATATCATTTATACTGCTAACGGTGATCTTCGAGTCAGTGTCCATCATTATTCTCTTGATCGTGTTACCACCCTTGCCAATTATACGACCGATGAGATTGTTGTGTGCGAGGATTTTCAATGTGATTTCCCTGTTCAAAACAAATAAATAAATCGTTAAAATCCCCGTCCAAAAACATAATTCTTGAAACATTCATGAATCGATAGATCAATCTAATAGTGAATTCCCAATGAATAAAATTAGTTAGATAATTAGGCACTTGCTGCGAGAATAAATGAGTTGAATGTCTCTTGATTTCATTTTAAAAATCATTTATTATCGAGATAATCCACAAATCAACAGATAATAGAAAATTGCATAATTCATCAAACCTCCATTCAATTTATGAATTTAGGCTGAAGGCCCTCGGGCAATGACCATTTGTAAGAATGTATGTTTCTTGAAATAAATAACGTTAAAAGTTCGAGTTATGTTTAGTTCAGTAGCGAAGTGGTAAAACGGTATAAGTAAATTTTGACTATTGACCAGTTTTCAATGAATATCTCGGAATCTAAGGGAAATAGCAAAATTTCTACTATAACCTTATTTGTAGATCCGGTTGAGAGCTACAACAAATGTAATTACGAAAATTCCGCTATCTCCCTTAGATTCGGGAATATTCCTCAAAAACTCAACTGGGAGATAAGTCGACTTAAACCATTTTACCACTTCGCTACTGAATTATGTAATGAGTGTTTCTTTTTAGAAGCAAAGGTCGTTCATTCTTCTGGTGACAAACAATTGAAGAGTCCATGAAAATTTATAAGGTAAATGTGCCTATGCTCTTTCTGATGTCCTGAGCTATCACATTTTAATCATTTTAACAGGCCCAAGAGTCTATCAAGAGTGAAATGTAATTGGGGTTACTTTATTGAAGATTTTATTGAACAATCAGAGAGAAAAATCCCATTCCCATCAACTGGTACTACGACGAAGTAAATTCTTAATCCGGAAGTTAAGAAACTCACAATTTAAAATGTTGATATCTCCGTTATACATACTAGTAAAATAGGATTAAAAATCCCTGGACTGAGGTTTCGGACGGTTAAAAAAAACAATAAAAAAGCATAAATTATAGTAATATCTTAATATTTCACAGAACTTTCAGCAATTGAAAGAATAAGCACAATGGAAATGCCATTGGTCCTATGGTCATTTTGCAACCAACTGTCAACTGATAACGAACTAAACCGATGAAAAAATCATTTAAAAGGTTGAACCGTTCATTTGAAATTTAATTTTGTGTCTCGAGATACTTTTTAATGTTGTTTTATCCCAAATAGGATACTCACGGTGTAATTAGTTCAGATGTAACCTTTCCATATCATTCAAATGAAAGGGAGGGGACATGGGACTTTCCACGTGTATAAATGATTATTCATTAAAAGATAGTAATTACCATGATTAATATGAATGAATTTTAATTTTGAAGTTTAGTTTTTGATATTTAATTTAAAACATCGCCTCTTTACACTCATTTCAATGGAAATATTGAACATATGATGTGTTCACCTTAGCTACACCAGCGTAGGATCATTTACAATTTTTTTTGATTAAGGTATTCAAAATAAATTGTTTATTCTGCTAAAAGAATATATATAAATTATTTGCGTATCAATCAAACACTTGGTAAATCTTACAATGTCCTCAAATGGGACTTTCCGCGTGTATAGACGATTATTCATTAAAAAATAGTAATTACCATGATTAATATAAATGAATTTTAATTTTGAAGTTTAGTTTCTGACATTTAATTTAAAACATCGCATCTTTACACTCATTTCAATGGAAATATTGAACATATGATGTATTGAACATATGTTCACCTTAGCTACACCAGCGTAGGATCATTTACCATTTTTGTTATTAAGGTATTCAAAATAAATTGTTTATTCTGCTAAAAGAATATATATAAATTATTTGCGTATCAATCAAACACTTGGTAAATCTTACAATGTCCTCAAATGGGACTTTCCGCGTGTATAGACGATTATTCATTAAAAAATAGTAATTACCATGATTAATATAAATGAATTTTAATTTTGAAGTTTAGTTTCTGACATTTAATTTAAAACATCGCATCTTTACACTCATTTCAATGGAAATATTGAACAAATAATGTGTTCACCTTAGCTACACGAGCGTAGGATCATTTACCATTTTTTTTATTAAGGTATTCAAAATAAATTGTTTATTCTGCTAAAAAAATATATATAAATTGTTTGCATATCAATCTAACATTTGGTAAATCTTACAATGTCCTTAAATGTTCAATTTACATGAAGTGAAAAAGGAGAATTAGTAGGATAATTTTTCTATCTGAGACTCTCAAAAATTCTCTGATCCTATAACATGATCATTTACCTTATAAAATACTATTTTCTTATGAAACTTTCGTCAATTGCTTCATAAAATCGTTAATCACTGAGATACTTTTATACCTCTGAAAATATGAACTTGATTCCATTGATGAATTAATCGACTGATCTCTCAAATCATCAACTGCTAGATAAATTAATCGATGACATTAATTGGATTCATTACTGACCCCTTATTCGTGTTATTAGCCTCCTGCTGCATGACCTCCAGTATTTTTTTACAGGCATTAGTGCAGTTCTCTGGATTACCGTAGATCGTAATAGCTTTCTCGAGTGATCCAACGTTATCCTTGCGATGTACATCGACTCTGGCACGTGTCATTTGGGTTATCTGACGTATGGTTGATCCCTGACGACCAATAATAGCACCGACCATGTCTGATTGTACGAGGATGCGAAGTGGAAAGTCTGTCTGGCGTCCAGAGCCAGGTATACCCGAAAATGCACCAACTCCAGCACGCTGACTGCGTGCCCTACGTCGACTCTCTGCACTCGACATTTCCACTTTTATCGGATTACCGTCGTACTCGTAGCCATTCAACTGATTCACAGCCCTGTAACAACAATTTAATCGATTGAAATCGGTGAATTGAAAAAAATTAAGCATTTTTGTTCCATAATTCGTTATTTATTGATAAATTATCGTAGAGAGGGAGAGGTTTAGATAAATTATCAGGAGAGGTTTTCATAGAACTGGGGGTCTCTACTAACTCTTAATCGGATCCTTATTTTGACCCTTGTGATCCTTAATCTACCCCTGTGACCCTTAATCTGACCCCTGTGACTCTTATTCTGAACCTTGTGACCCTTATGACCCTTATTCTGACCCTCATGGCCATCATTTTGACGCTCGCGACCTTTATTCTGACGCTCATGACCCTCAATCTGACCCTCGTGGCCGTCATGACCCTCATTCTGACTTCATGACTGTTATTTTGTTTCTCGTGACCCTTATTCTGACCCTCATGACCCTTATTTTGACCCTTGCGACCCTTGATTCTGGAGTCTTAATTTCGAGAATCAAAATTTTTATCACCAGGAGTCGATTTGGATTTTTATAATACAGAGAGACATATGTACGGAACTATGATGAATAATGTAATGAGATGAACAAGATCGGAATGAAGAATACTTTAGCTTCAGTTATGTATCGGTTTCATAATTTTCAAGTCACCAGAAATAATAAATTTGAGAAGTATAGAGGTATAGACAGGTACAAGAGGAACTAACAATATTCAAATCCATTTTGAATTTGTCTGGTTTTCATTATTGACTGTCTGATTCACTCTGTCATACATTACTGACGATAAGAGGTAATGACAACAAGGAATTTTTGGAATTAACGTATCAAGAATTTACAAATGACTTTGATTGAAAATGTACTCACTGCTGTGCTAGCTCTTGCGTTTCATAGCTGACAAGTACTGTCTGGCTGTTTGGATCTCTTGAGGCTACTTTCTCGACGTTTAGCACCTGTCCATACGTCGAGAACAGGAGCTCCACGTCCTCGAATTTTGCGTGGACCGGCAGGTTGCTGACGAGTACCTTTCCACCGGAGCCGCTGCTAGAAAAAAACAAAAACAAATCGTCAGAAATATATTTTAATATCACATGAATTGATAATCGATCGTTCGATCTGTCAAGTTAAAAACGTTCTAATGAGAAAAGTCAGACGAAAAATTTGAGATTTTTCTCTGACGTTAGGAGAAAATATTCTTTGACTTATTCTTTATTACTCTAATACTCATTCATTAATTATGTCAGTAACTGGTGGAGAAGTGATTTAAGGATATCCAAATACTTTGACTATTTTTTCTGTTCTGTGCTGAAATGCTTTTCATTTGAGCTCCATTTGACCCTAAGTTTTCCAACATTTTTCCATGACTGTTGTTTCCACTTTGCAGGTCTAAATTTGAATCTCGATATTGACCCGTTATAAAATATTTTTAAAATTAAGAAAAAAATTAGAAAGTTTATTTTTGGAGGAAAACTGATGAAATAATTAAAAATTTGTAGTTTTTAAAAATTACGAGCGGTTTCTATCAATCATTTATAAACAATCAATTTTCAGAATTTTACCAGAAATCGATTTAATGCCTGAAAAAATAAAGTTTCCGAAAGTTTGAACAATTTCAATTAACTATTCATAAACAACGAATGTTTAAAAAAATCAGAATTCTGTGCAAAATTTAATTTTAATGACACTGAATATTCATGATTTTTTTCAAATCTCTATCACAAAATTTAATGATTGAAAATGGTTGAATCTGTACATTGAGAGAAAAACAAACAAGTTCTCAAACAAGTCTTGTTTGGGCCAACAAAATCGTTAGTTGAAAGTTACCAAAACACTGTTTGGCTGTTTGGCTCGAATTTGGAAGTCTGAAACACGAATAATTGCTCCGTTTTCAACAACAACCAAATATTTAGCTCAAGAGGCGGATCATTCATACAAGATGGTGTCTTTTCAGGATCAAAATATCTTTTATAGAGCGAACTTTATCAAGAAATATTTGGTCCCTAAGTTACAAGATTGATTTCATATAATTATTATTATTTCATTTAAGAATTAATTTTTGTCTGTGATTATTGAATAGCCGAAACGACAAACTACTATCCCTCGTTTCATATAAAACGAGTATTTGCCGGGAGCAAAATACGTATGGGAAGATGGAAAAATGAAGAAGTAGTGCTGAAATAGTATATTACGTGCTAAGGCGGAGAAGTGCTGAATTCAACGCTGGTGGAGTACAGGCGCACGAGGCACGTGAGTCGTAGACGAACGGTGCCGANTTCCACAGAGAATGCATTTTTTTTAAAAGACCAAATTTATTTTTGCAATAAAAATTTTCAATCTCGGCACATGCATCGCGTGTTTGGGACAAGTAAGACTTGTTTGAGTATCCTTAATGAGAAATTATCATGACATCAGGATTTCCATCAATTCAGTAGTGAAGCGGTAAACTGGGTTACGTCGATTTTGAGTGTTTGACGAATATCTCGGAATTTTAAAGAGATAGCAAAATTTTCGTCATGACCGTTTTTGTAGAGCCAATTGAGAGTTATAAAAGAGGTTATTAGAAAAATGTTGCCATCCCTCTTACATCTCGAGATATTAATGAAAAACTGGCCAAAAGTCAAAACCGACTTAACCCGGTTTACCGCTTCGCTATTGAATTCTCCCAAACCCCACGATTCCCAACGTATTTTCGAAATAATCTGCCCGTGAATTTTCAATTAATCTCTTATCACTTGACAACATCATTCTACCGTCATTCATCAATTAACTTATGCATCAAATGGTGAGTCAAGAGTGATCTGTCTTTCTCATTGTGAAAATCAAATTGAAGAGCCTTTAATGAGGGTGAGGGCCCACGCACGACCCGAAGTGTGCAAAGTCCCGTGAGACAAAAAAATTATAATACCACGTATAAATAGATGTTGTCTCTCCAGTCCGTAATGAAGGAGAATGCAGAGAAGAAAATTGACTCGTTAGTTCCCTCCCTTAGAAAACAACGGATACGAAGAGCATTAAGTTACTCGTTCTTTCACACATCTTTTAACGGTCTCAACAGTTCCCTCAATATGAATCTCAAATGAGCTTGCCTTCAGTGAGACTCAGACCATAATGCAGAAGAAAAAAACATTTGATGGGAGAAAATTATTTCGTGCAATGTTTACCTATAAAATCTTCACTACACGGAGAGAAATATTCAGTAAAAATCACGGAATAATTCACGTAATCCGCAATGGGGAATCGCTTTCCGTCAAATTTTATATGAATGGCAGAGAAGACATCTGAAACGTTCAGTGAATTTTCAGGTTCATCACCGAGCAAAGTACGACATTGTCATGTAATTTTTCCCGAAGAAGTAAAATCTTACAGAAACTTGCCGACTTATTATGCCTCCAAAATCAAAAATTCTTGAACGTTCAACAATTTTTATGAAGCTGGCGAGTTATTTCCACGTTCCGTTCCGTAAAATTTCGCAATCGTTGGGGAAAAATTACGGTACTTGTTGTCCCCACAGCGGTTAGTCATCAGACGGGTGCTTAATTTTTACGGAACAAATCGCAGAATTTACGTGGCGATTCGTACAATTTCAATTCCGAGTCACATTTTTTATTGAATTTTACTTCGCTCGGGGAATCCATTTCGAAACGTGATTTTCACTTTTTTTTTCCTGGTAATTTCCTCCTGGTGAATGAATTTTTCTCGCCGTGTAATTCTGTGGTTATCTAAAGAATAAGGAATTCCGGACAGAATGTCAAAGGAAATGTCGACTTTTAAGGATCTTTTGATATTTTTGGTCAAATGTACCCATTACCGGGATAATTGGGGTTGTACCTGAATTTTTAAAAAATGATCGTATTTTGTATTTTGTTTATTTTGATGAGAAATGAAAATCCAATGAATTGAAGTGGCTGTAAATTCTTGACTTCCCAAAAATTGTTTCTAAATAAAATTATACTAGGCAATATATTCGATACAATTTTCGTATTCAAATTCAATTGAATAAAAAAATATTATGCAATTATAAAATTGCAGAATTCATAACGAAGGTGAAACAAGAAATGGAAATCGAAGGACATTTTTTGTAAGAAATTTCATTCTTCGCAAAAGATAATGCAAAAGGTCTAGAGGTTTTTCTCTTAACTTCATTTATGACTGAAATAATTCGATGAATCATCAGGGCGATTTTAGTTTGTCGAAGTATTATTTCAGAAATGAGTTATTTTCGGAAACAATGTCAAGAGATGCTTCTTTCTTGAAACAAATATTATATACTTGCACAAATTTCAAATAAATAAGATCTTCCGGTGAATATCAATTATTTCTTCTTAACATACATTTACTTGAATCAAATAAAACAGCCCTTGGCGTCTAGTCACATGTATTCACCACAAAAATAGAAAAGTTCTAATTTTTTAACCTAATATAATCTCCAGTCGTGAAATTATCTACTTTTATGAATTGATCAAAAATTCGTACCTAGGACATGATTACATTGAGGAATGAATTGAATGTTGTTTTCTCGAATGAAGCCGATGTTTAAATTGAGCTTTCCGTACATCACATTGAATGAAATTTGTGATATCCAAATTTGTGTTGAATTGCCGTAATCGGTGATTCTGTTATTGTAAACTAATGCGATTTTTTTTAGTCAAGAAATATAAACTTCTTTCAACTCAACGACATCTTACTACAATCTCAAAGCTTTTTCCGCGTAACAATATTCATCCTGATTCGACATACGAAATGCTCACGAAATGCTCAATTTTGATTTTCCAGTAAACGACCGAATTTCTGGAGTTAGCAAACTTTTGGCTAGAATGAAATCAAATACTCTCATTATTGCGACAAATAAAAGGAACTTCACTTCTAGAGAAGTTCAATTTCTCCCAATCAAATGTATCTCAAGAAGAAATGACTGGAATTCACTCTGAAATTATGTTTACTTGAAAATTAACAACCAAATGGTAGTTGATTCAAATAAAATTCTCTTGATAAAACTAATTTTTTCTGTCAATGTAGAGAAGGAAAGTCTCAATTGAAAAGGTCTCGCAAATTTCCATCATCGTTCGTTATTAAGATGATCCAACAATTGATAATCACAGATGACGGATTTGAAATGAGTTATATAAACTCCCTAGGACTCCTCTGCTCTATTATTAACCATGAACTGGTGAATATTATTATTCAGGTGTAAAATCCATTCACCATTCATCAATATCATTCTCTATTGATGAGTTGGATAGATCTCTGAATGGGATAACTGCTGCATAAACTGATTGCAATTACAATAACCAGACCCTGCAATCTGTTTTTATTATCATTCCATCCCTCCATCCCTTGTATCCTAGTGCACGATGAGGGACGAAACATTACCCTGAAATCTAGGTAATCGAAAGTCAAACTTTTATTTCAGGAAATTTTATTTGAAATCGAAGAAAGAATCTGAGGTAAAGGATAAATCAGTAGCGAAACGGTAAAACGGTTCAAGTCGAATTTGACTATTGGTCAGTTTTCAATGAATATCTCGGGATCCAAGGCAAATAGAACAATTTTTGTTATAACCTTTTTCGTAAAGCGGATTAAGATACACAAAAAAGGTCCTTACGAAAATTTCTCTATATCTCTTAGATTCCGAGATATTTCTCGATAACTCAGCTAAGAGCTAAGTCAACTTAAATCGTTCTACCGTTTCGCTACGGAAATGCTCCCTTTCATAACGTAATTTTTCGCGAATGAACGGGTATTGATTTGGTATGAATAGTATTTTCTGTCAATGTGAAATTTACGGGAAGCTTTTCTCGTAACAATTCATTGCCGAGATAATCCAGCAATTCCCCATCAAGATGAGTTATGTGAACTAATCTGATCACATGTCCATTTAATCATTAATAGGAATTCTTGAATGAATTCACTCAGGTGTGAGAGGCATTGATTAATATTGCCCTGTTCTGGTGAGGGTGAGGGATCCTTTGGAGAAATGAACAGCCGCATACTCCAATTTTTATTGACAATATCTAAAAACGGAATGAATTGTCCAGCATTCGGTG